AAATCAATATTTTTTGATCGGAAAATCTTGTTTCTCTTCAGGACATTCCCAGTAATAATACTCAATTATTTATTTAAACATTTTGTCATAGTAGCTATATTTTAGAGGTGCGCCAAACCCCCAGAAAATGCCAGAAAATGCAATGGGGCGATAAATAATAAATCGTTCGTATTAGAAAATGGTAAAATAAACAATTGGGTATTGTTACTGGAAGTCTTCTGAAGAGAACCAGAGTATTCCGATCGAAAAATGTTGATTTTCAAGAATTCTATACCGTTTCTACGAAAATTCGTTTTTTTTCCCCCATATAAAATACGTGGAAAACTTTAAGCGCTTTGAGCGACCTCTAAATATTTTTTGATTTTAAAATAGGAAAAAATAGGGATGTATTTTTTCGATATATTTAGAACAATGCTAGGGGGTGAAAGCATTTAAAATTCCGACTTAACTTATTTTGGACCACCCTAATGCACATGCGTAGGTATATCTACTTACATATGTAAACCTCTGAAGTTACTTCCACGCAATACATTGCGGCTGCTTGCCTGTCAAATGACGACACAATAAATGACAGACACGGCACGAAATGATATATGAATTATGACATAAGCGTAAATAATATAAATAAGAGTGTACGCAAGGACCAACCTAACACTGAACAACATTGCCTTTGCATGTGCCATGCACAGATGCCACAAAGCACAGAAGCGCCTGGGGAATTTTGGAGGCAGCATCATTATCAACACCTTTGAAAGTGTGCTTGGCAGCTTGACGTCTTCACACACACACTTATGTACATATACAAATGCGAAAAATATATGTGAATATGCGTGGAAAACATTAGCGAAGTTTCCCAGTTTTATGCCCTTATATATATTGCAATCTTCTTTGCCACGACACTCCCCTGCGGTATGCTTTTTTCATATATTCCCAACTTTGAGTGTTTCTGGTTTTTTAAATTCGTCATGCAACCACTTTAATCCATCGATTTTATTTTGGTGCCCGTATGTACATATGTATGTAACTACATAGTGTATCTGGTGTAATGGTCAGCATCCTCTTCGTATTTTCACATTTATACTGACTACGAGTTAAAGAGTCTCCCATCATCCTCGTTTTTCAATTCTAACGGCCGTTTTGTTTCTATTTTCGTACGCTTTCCACCAATCGATGGTCACTTTAATATCAAATTTGCTGAAAATAAATTGTTATTGTACTCTGGTGTTTATTGAGAATGCACTTAAGTTCATCTTAATGCAAATAAAACGTTAAGTTTTTCGCCTTTGCAAATATATTTTGTACGTGAATTTATTCACTTATTGTTTGTGGCTATTCCATCAATTATATGTACAACTTTGCCACTTTCATAAAATTCAAGAAAAAAGTTTCTTTAAGAATTGTCCTTACTTGTTTGCCCGACCCCACTATAAAAACTTGAAACAATTAATTTTTGTATGTAGATATGATACTTATTGCCAACCACAGGTATGTGCCCCTGCAGAGGTAGATCTACGGAGACGGTTCTGCATCCTTTGGTCCCTAATATTGAGAAGCCAAGAACATTTCGCGACTCAGCAGAGGCTTTTAGCTACATATTCACCACGGCACATTTAAATTGCACCCCTGTGCGCCAAAAATAAAAAAATTTCAAAACACACGAAAGAATCGATATACTATGGGCCAAATATAGTAAAACATATGATTAATTAAAAGAAATATTTAAAAAATCAGTGCAATGTAGAGTTAGAATATGGAATATAGAAAATTTTGTAGAATTTAAAAACAGTAAAGGTTTTTTTTTGGTTTAAAAAGACGAATAGGTATTGAAAATGCGCTTTTTATAAATTTTGTCTTTTTAAGTTAATACAATTGGCAGGACGAAATTCGGTGATGAGGTCGCGCCTATATTAGTACTCAAACAATAAGAAAAACAAAATTGCAAATTTTCAAGGATGTTTAAGGACAAAATTTGTAAAGGACATTTTCCATACAAATTCGACCTTATGCACCAAAAGTCTACTCTCTTATAATTCTACAGAATTTGTTCTTTTATATGACACTCTTATTTTTATCCTACATTGCACTGAATGTTTTAAATAATTTTTTGAAATAGTCATATTTTTAAATTTCAAAGTCCTTTGAAAAAATTCTGAAGTCAGAGCGAAAAACTAACTACGCAGATTTACTATAATTTACGCATAATTTTGCGAATATATTCTTTTTTTGTGTGTTTAAAATTTACTGTCGCACGGTGATATAGATTCAATTTTATAAATAGTGTGAGCGTGCAAAATAATTCAAATGGAATTATTTAAGCCAATTTACACTATAACTTTTCACGCTGCGTTTTTTGCGCCTTCTCATTTAAAAAATCTTTGAAAATCCTCGTGCACTGATGAGTAATTATAATTACAATGAATCGCGGAAAGTCCGTCGATACTCAAGCTCATATTCGCGGTTTATAAGGAAACTCATGCTTGTCTGCAATCACACACACAGTGTAACCCAAACCACGGCGGCCCCATTCGGTCGATTTCCTCCTTGTATAGCTTTTCTGTGTGCTTATCGACACACAAATAAGCTTATCTTGTTCCTGATAGCACGTGGCAACTGGCGTTATTGGCGTAGGATGAGTTTAAGTATTTCTATAGCATGCCTTTATTATGCCTACTCAACACAACGGCACTGCCAGGGTAAGTGGTTTCGAAACTAAGCATGCAAGCTGTGAGGAGAATTATTAATTTATAGAGGCTGCTGTAACTTCTGGACTAGTTGCTTCTGCTTAGAGGTTCCTTGCTGGCGTTCCTGATTAGCTGCTAGGATCTTTATGAGAAAATGCTGATCTAGGTAGTTTTTCGAAAATCTGACACAGAAGACAGACTCAAAAATCCCACGACTTTTCGTGCTTGATTTTGCGGTCTGCATACAATTATTTTCCACTCTTTACGAGTGAGAGAGCCAATTACGTGCCTTGGGAAAGTACTTTTAACCCTTTCGACCCGGGTTTCGAATAGCAATGCTAAAATAAAATTTTTGATTGGAGCCAGTTACTTAGGCAATATATAAACTATTACTGAATTAAAATCTGAAAACAATAAAAAGGTGGCTCGGGGGGTGGTGGTACACCATTGTACCATTGTTATGTGGTACAAATAAGTACCAATCGTGCAGTAAAACACACTATATCAAAAATAAATAATAGGTACAATGATATAAATATAACAAAATGTACTTCATATTTTATTGATTTCTTATACAGATTAGTGAAGAAGAAGAGGAAGGTTATAATGAAAAATGTGCTATACATATAATTCACATATGATATGGTGCAAAGCACATTTTGCAAAGCGGAACTTGGCATTCCTTACAGATGGTCTTAGTGCGTCTCTGTTTGTTTTGAGCACTGCAACTGGTACAACGACGTCGGGTAGTTCCTTCAACAGGAAGATGCATTGCCTTGTGATTGAGAGTTAGTGGTGCGCGGCCTGGTTTTATTGATCGACGAACGGCTGTGGTTTGTAAGCCTTCCTGGATCAATGCCTCAGCTACGGAATCTTGTTTCGGTTCAGGTCATTATAAATGACCCATGCATTCGACGCTACTTCCTCGACAGCCTCACTCACTATGTCGTCTGCTAAATCTTCGTTATCGCTGGAACCAGAAGCACCACTTTGTACAGTCCTTCAGAGCTTCCGTCTTCTGCGGAATCATCGTTACCGCTGGAGCTAGAGACACCACTTGGTACCAATTCATCAGAGCTTCCTGCTGAAAAGTCTTCTAAATCGCTAGCACTATCAGCTTCATCTTCCAGAATTTTTCGAATATCTTCAGGATCCATTTTCTAGAAGAACAACCAAATTTCTTCAAAACGGGGATTTGCAATATCTACTACCCAACGGACTATTAATACATATATGTACCACCATACCGGACGAATGGTACATATAGGTACCATTCACTAAAATAACCATAAAACCAATATTTTTTTTATAAATACTTACCTGCCACAATTGTCAAAATTTGTAAAAACTTCAATTCTGCTTTATTTTCAATATTTTCGGCGCTTCAGCACTCAATATCGTGTAAAAACCAACTACGCGTTTCAATTTTGCTGGAACGCAACTCACAAATAACGGCGTCGTAAACACAAACAGCAAACAAATATAACGAAACCTTTAGGAATGCATTCAGGAAACCTTAGAGACGATAAGATACATTTCACAATCCAGAAACATTCAATTAGAAACTTCAAGGGATGTTTAAACTTTAAGTGGTACACATATGTACCATCCGGGTCGAAAGGGTTAAAGCCTAAACGAGTTTTTAAATGGCTGGTTTAAGACATTATTTCAACATTTATATTATATATACGAATTTAATAAATAACACGTACTTAATGATTTTAGGTTAAGAAATTTCATGAAGAAAATTTTAACATAACACGCGGCCATTGTTTATTTTCTGCATCTTCTTCTTTATACTGCTATTTCACGCAATCCAAAACTAGTTTTGACCAACCCTTATACCCCCAAAGTGAGTACTTGCGAATATGAAAAGAATATTTTTTTTTGTAACAAAAACATTCAGCTGTATTCAAAATACATTTATATTATTGCTGGAAATGCGGTTAAGAGCGCAGTGCTATTTTTTACCTGTACAGCAATGCTTAACTACCGCAAGCGCCGACGCATACGAAAAACTGTTGTTGTAAATCAGGTAGTAACGCAACTACTTGTTAAACGAGGCAGGTGATCATGACCAACTTTCAACTTAAATGCTATAACAATTAAAAAAGGGATGAAGGTCAACTAATGTGGAAGTCCACTACGCAAATAAAAATAGCTTACATAGATTTTCGTCTTGTCTTTAGGAAGTGCTCCTAAATAAGTGATATTTTCATAAAAAATGCATATAAATAAAGAACATACAGAAAACCAGAGCATTAGTCCGACAACAAACGCCGTTGCGTTAACATCGCTTTACATTAAGCTAAAAGCATCATGAGCTCAAGAGTTTATGTCGGCGGTTTACCGCATGGAGTTCGTGAAAGAGATTTAGAACGTTTCTTCAAAGGCTATGGACGAGTACGTGATATCTTGCTGAAAAATGGTTACGGTTTCGTAGAATTCGAAGATTCTCGAGATGCTGATGATGCCGTCTACGAGTTAGATGGCAAAGAATTGCTCGGTAGGCGTATAGTTGTAGAGCAGGCAAAGAGTACAGCGCGTGGCGTCCCTAGAGATCGTTACGATAGTGGACGACGTGGTCGTTACAATGACCGAAACCCCAGATCCTCACGCTACGGACCACCGCAACGCACCGAACATCGCTTGATTGTGGAGAATCTCTCGAGCAGCGTTAGTTGGCAAGATCTGAAGGACTATGTGCGCCAAGCCGGTGAGGTCACATACTGTGATGCACACAAGGAGCGTCGCAATGAGGGTGTCGTCGAATTTGCAACGCGTTCGGATATGAAAGCTGCCATAGATAAGTTGGATGATTCGGACTTAAATGGCCGTCGCATACGTTTGGTTGAAGATCGCACGGCCAGACGTGGTGGCGGCCGTGGACGTGAAAGGACTCGCTCACGCTCTGATTCACGCCGGCGTTCTCGCTCCAAATCACGTCGTTCATCGCGTTCGCGCTCAAAGTCACGCAGCCGTTCAAAGTCGCGTGGTCGTGGACGTACCAAGTCGAATTCGGTTGAGAAGTCACGTTCGCGTTCACGCTCACGCAAATCTCGCGAACCTTCTAAGTCTAAGTCACGTTCGCGTTCTGCCAAGCGTGATTCTCGTTCACGCTCGCGTTCAAAAGCAGCAAAGCGTGTTTCACGTTCACTATCAAAAACACGCAGGAAGTCTGGCGAACGTTCTAAGCCTCCACGTGACTCACATTCGAAATCCAAATCACGCAGAGATTCTCGTGAACGTTCAAAGTCTCACCGTTCATCGAGGTCAGAGCGCGACTCACGCAAAGATTCGCGTTCACGTAGTCGCTCTTCTTCACGTTCTCGGTATGCCTCGCCGGCAAATGCCAACGATTCAACGAACCGAGATGAGAGCATGGATGAGTAGGCGCATTGTCAAAAATTTTAGCCTCTTATTGACTTGGAATAAACTATAATCTTTGCAGCTACTTAATTGTAACCATATTTACTAAGTATGTTTTTGCATGGAAATATTGAGAATAAAGAGCATTCCTAAAAATGGTTGATAAGGTTTTAATTTCGTTAAATTTGTTTAAATTGCTAGAATTCCAAAATAGATTTTGATCATATTCTGATCTCAGCACACTTTTTTACATTGGCTTCTAATGTCCGTAAAACCTTATTGAAATTACATTAGAAATTGATTTATGGTGTATGGAAATTTAACCCTTCTTTAGGGCTCAAGATCAAAAAGGGTATGCCTTATATTAGACGAGACTAATAATCGGTTAATTAATCATAAGCCAAAAAAATAATAATTACAACTATTGAGAAATAATCGATTAATTGAATTTTGAAAGGTATTTTTTACAGTGTGTATTCGCAAAACACGCAGCAGCTTTGAAAAGGGCGCCCAAATATAATAGTTTTTCGAAATTCCATAAAGTTTTGGATAAATAGTTTTCATTTCCTCCCAAGCGTCGGTGTTATTCCGCTTTATTTCTAGGAATTGACAATTTAAATAAAAACTCATTTCATCTTGTGGGTGACCCAAATCATCCATCATCTTTTCGCCTTCATTTGTGTACAAGAGATTTATGAAGGGCCCAAAGATCGAACACATTTTCTACTGATTCTAGTGACGACTCGCACATTACTTGAGTTCGCAAGAACTTCATTACTGAGGCTAATTCTAACGGATCTTTGATGCAGCTAGCAAAAAAGGATGTTCGATGGATGGATTTCAGACAACTACAGAATTCATATTTCTTGAAAGTATTTATCGATTATTTTACAATTAATCGATTAACAATGGGGGCCGCTGTGATGTAGTGGCAAGCAGTGCGCGCTTCCACTCCGCAGCACCTGGGTTCAAGTCCTGGTCAAAGCAACATCGCAAAAAAAATATAGAAAAAAGGTTTTTTCTTAACAGCGGTCGTCCCTCGGCAGGCAATGGCAAACCTCCGAGTGTATTTTTACCATGAAAAATAGCTTCTCATAAAAATACAATCGCCGTTCGGAGTCGGTCCCTCCACTTTGTGTGACAAGATCAAGGCACACGCCGCAAATCGGAGGAGAAGCTCGGCCAAGCACCAACATATGTGTAAGCGCCAATCTATTATTATTATTATTATTATTATTATTATTATCGATTAATGGAACACTAAACTACGATAAATTCAAATATAATTATTAAGAAATTCTTCTTTACCCACATGCCATGTGTGCAATGATAGACAATTTTTGTCGTTCCAATGCCCAGTGAAAACTCGGCATTACTCGAAATTCAGATTACTACTCAGCTGCACTGAAACGGTCAATAACCAATTTCGCCATTTTGACACACGATTAAATCTGATTTGATTTTCAGAGCTGAAATGTTTCTATGAAAAGTCTGGTTAAGACCAAGGCATATTCAACAAGGTAGAAGTGACAATTCAGTCGAGCTCTCTCGTACCTGACTGTAATGTCAAAAAACGTAAACAAAGAAATTAACCCTTTGTTATGCATGTACCACATTTGATAAAATTCAATATCTATGAAATGAAAGTTTTTGTAAATATGAAAATATTTAAAATCACATTAAAATCGGCTTCATTTTAGTTTTTGTATTTTCGTTTAATGTAAATGTGGAAATGCATATCTACTTACTCAAAATTACACATTTATTTATAAAACCGTTTTGGCAATTTTCTTGTTTTTATTAGCCCAATGTTTTTGAGCATTTATTTTTTTATTCAAATACTTAATTCTAGAGTATATTCGACATTTAAAAAAAAAATCTTTTCACATGGCATTATGAAAAAGGGATGTTAAGAACCAGAACGTCGAATTTATAACAGTAAAAGGTGATCTAAAGCGGTAAATTTAGTGGAACGAATTTGTATCATGGTGTTCGCGCGGAGCATTTGCTTATATGTATATGTTAATGTACTCGTGGATCCGGTCGTGCTTGTTTGTGGCAGACTTACTCAGTTTGAATCTGTGCATCAACAGCTAACTTCGTCCCCACAGACACCTCAGGAACGGCCGACACTTCAGATAACTCATGCATTGGGGAATTGTATGGTAGAGGTACTGCACCTGGGAACAAACGCGTCCGCTTGGAAATACTCGGCTGTGATGGGCAACAAATAAAGTCACTGCCACACTTAAATGGTGTTCGCACACACACGAAGAGTCTCCTAATGGAACACCGCAGCTACTTGCCCACCATTGTCGTTTCACTTGACAATTAGGAGGTTTAAAATAACGCCCAAGTTTGTTGTCCTGGCCACACAGAGCGCACCGCTCGTAATGCCTTTTCATTTTATTTTTGTATGTATGTATTTAAAATCAGTCGCACAGCTAAAAATTGAAAATTGAAATTAAAAAATTAAAATTTTGAATTATATAGGGTTAAGAGTTGACATTACAGTCGCAGTTCGAAAGAGAGAAATGTCGAAATCACTTCTACCCTGTTATGCCTTGGTTAAGACGTATGCATGTCGATTTCTCTTATCCGAGATTTTTTTCTTTTATTCGACAAAACTAACAAAAATTCAACCAGCAAAGCCTTGAATGCCATTAGGTTACAATTTTTACTAACCGGCCAAGCATGCTACTCACAGCTGTCGAACAGTTAAGGGTACGTACACACAGAAGGTGTTGCCTAGCCGAGCGGTGTCATGCGAAACAAATCGGAGCGAATTTCGAAGTAGAGTGTTCACATGGAACGAAGCTGAACGAAGCTTTTTCCATGGAACCAGTTGTAGAATAAATTACAAAGCTGAACCCTTAATTAGGCGCATAAAAATCACAAAATCAGTCGCATGGGGTTCCCTGTGACCCCAATAAAAGTGTTGAAAAATGAGTTTTCGAAATAAGAAAATCAAGTGTAAATTATCAAAAATATTAATGTACTCTATTTTCTTTAACTTAAAAAAAAACATGTTTTCCACTTCAAACTTAAAATAAAATTTAAAGACTTACCTCCGCCAAAAAATTTTACGTTAGTGGTCGCATGGGGTCAGCACTCAAGCGAGTAGCGACACATTTTAGGCTTGGGGAGATTTTGAACTAAAGAGCGAAAGAGCCAACTCTTTTAATTGAACTAATTCATTAGTTCGTTCATTAAAACGGACTAAAATTTTCTATGGCAACACTCTAATGAAAATGGAAATGTAATTCCACAACACTTTTGGGAACTCATTTTTCGTTGTAGGGGCATAACGAACGAGCTGATCGGAGTTCACGCAAAAAAGAAATTCTATTTCATTTAATTTCCAATGTTTTACATCGTTTAGTGTAATTTGTGTTAAAAAGTAAGTATTTGAGTTGAGTTTTTGGATTTTTTTTTTGTTTAACAAAAGATTTTCTCTTTCAGATGCCAAATCGAAGCACAATTTACTCGCATTCCGAAGGCAAAATTGATGGGGGTAGCGTGCCAAAGCTGCTGCAGAATCAACTGCCAAAAGAATTCGTGGTAGAGAAACTCGCAGCGGACTGAGCTGTAAGGTTTGTGGTGTCTGTGGAATTTACCATACGAAGCTTCGACCTTGGCACACTAGTCAGGAATATAGTTGATAACGCAGATAACCGTGTCTAAATAGGGGAAAACAAAGAAATGGGATTTGAACAAAATATTCTCAACACCAGCACAAAAAGCCAGCGACGGGCCATAGGGGAAATAATGTATGTAGATAGTAGAAAAGGTTAAGAGTAGGTTGAAAAACGTGTTGGATGCTAGAAAAAAAACACAGTGGTGAGAAATACAGAAAACGCAACGCTACGGAATCAAAAGAAACTTTGGAATGAAATATATTTGTTATTTAATTTTCTCTGGTCTTTTGCGTTCCCTGTGTAAAGATTGTGTCTGAGAATACCTGCAGTAAATTTCCGGGCGAGTAATTTTCTAGAACATTTTAACCCGCTAGCGACCTCCTTAATGCCATTTTTTTAGACCAGAAAGGAGGGTTGAAATTACCCTTTTGTGAGAGAGTTAATAGGGTTCAAATAATCTACAAAATTATTCCCATGAAATTTTACTATATGTATCCAAACTACATATTTCCCTCCGATATTAATTGTAACGCTTTTTTCCAGTTACCCTAAAAGAGTTGGAATCATTCCGCCCCAGCCAAAGCCACTGAAGTTGTTGCACAGTGTAATTTGTATGTTGTGTACAGTGTTGCCAGGTTTTGGGCTTTGGTAATAGATCTGTGGGCCACACCAGTACCAAGCCATTTTACAAAATGGCACAGGGAAACAAAAAGTTTTTGGTCATCCGTGGAATAAGCTAATCAAATAACCCAATTAAGGTATTTTTTTTCCAGGAAAATTATATGTGCATAAAGTTATAAGAAATTGTAAAAACTCCAGCTGCTAAAGCCAATGCTATGTAAGCGTGAGCGCCCTCATTAATTATGGTGCGCATGTGCAAGTTTTCATATCCAAAAATGCATATACATAATTCCATACGCGCTTATAATCAATTTAACTCTTTAGCTGTAAAATTGAAATGCCAATCGATTTTCAATTTTCAAAATATTTTCCATTTATGTAGCTTAAGCAAAGCTTTCAACGCTCAATCGTTGATAGTAATGTATTTTGCACCTTCCAACAATAGCATTAGCAATCCTGCAAATACTTGCCCCAGCCTGCCCTGTTGCATTATTGACAGCATAAACAAATTTTGATATACATACATACATAAATGCAAAGGACTTGTCAGTCTTTATGCACCACCCTAACTAGATACATCATAAAACGGAGTATGAGTGGAATGCAAATGTGCATAACAGCTACAAAATATTGGCGAATGCATTTCGCAGCGATCAAAAATTTTTCGACTAAATAAGCCCTGCTTTTCAACGCTTAGGGCACTTACATACATACATAGTTACTACATATGTATGTATATAGATACGGGTAAGTATATAAATTTCA